AGGTATAAAAGGAAAAATCCTAAAGGCAGAAAGAGAAAAAGGTCAGACTACCTACCAAGGAAGATCAATTAGAATAGCAGTATATTATCTACAGAAACACTTCAGGCTAGGAGAGCTTGGAGCCCAATCTTCAAAGTTCTCAAAGATAAATGATTTCAACCAAGAATAACCTACCCAGCCAAGCTAAGCTTCATCAATAAGGGAGAATTAAAATCTTTCCCAGACATCCAATCCCTAGGAACTTAAGCTGCCTCCAGACCACCCCTACAAGAAATACTTAAGAAAAGTAATAAACACAGAAGAAAAGGAAAAAAGAATGACAATGTTCTTCACAAGAGTACAGGAAAAAGATCGAAAACACACATGAATCAACCCAAAAATCAAAAGAAGCAAACAAGCAGGAACAACAACAACTCTATAAGTACTTCATGAAAAGGATAAACCCTTATATTACAATAATTAGCCTGAATGTGAATGGACTAAATGCACCACTGAAAACACATAAGAGTGGCAAAATGGATAAAATATCATGAAACAACAATATTTTGTCTCCAAGAGACTAATCTCACCAGAAAAGATACTCATAGACTCCAAAGTAAGAGGATGGGAAGCAAAATTTCAGGCAAATGGACCACAAAAGAAAGCAGGAGTTGTGACCTTAATTTCTGAAAAAATACCCTTTAAACTCTCAAAAATTAAAAAGGATACAGAAGGTTACTACATAATGATAAAAGGTTCAATCCTTCAGCAAGAAATATTGATCCTAAACATATATGCACCCAACATAGGAGCACCAAATTTCATAAAGCAGCTTCTAGGCAAACTTTGAAAAGATATTGACTCTAAACTCTCATAGCTGGGGACTTTAATACCCTACTCACAACACTAGACAGATCATCAGGACAAAAAATCAGCAAGGAGCCTGTAATCCCATGCTTTGGAAGGCTGAGGTGAGTGGATTGCCTGAAACCGTGGGTTCAAGACCCGCCTGGGAAACTTGGCGAGACCACATCTCTACAATAAATAAAAAACATTAGCCGGGCATGGTAGCATGCGCCTGTAGTTCCAGCTACTTGGAAGGCTGAGGTGGAAGGATCACCGGAGCCCAGCAGGTCAAGACTGCAGTGCCCGTGAGCAGCCACTGCACTCTAGTCTGGGTGACAGAGTGAGACTCCAACTCAAAAAAAAAAAAAAAAATTAGCAAGGAGATCCAGAACCTCAATCTGACTCTTGACCAAATGGACTTAACTGATACCTACAGAACACTCCACCCAATGACCACAGAATATATATTCTACTCATCACCACATGGAATGTACTCTAAGATCGATCACATCCTTGACCATAAATCAAACATAAACAAATTTCATAAGACTGAAATTTTGCCATGCACATTCTCAGACCACAGTGGAATAAAAATAAATATTAACACCAACAAAGTTCCCCAAAATCCCACAAAGACATGGACACTAAACAGCATGATGCAAAGCAACTCCTGGGTCAACATGGAAATCAAAACAGAAAATAAAAGTTACCTGAAAACAAATGAAAATGAAGAAACATCTTACCAAAATCTCTTGGATGCCATGAAAGCAGTAGTAAGAGAGGAATACATATCTCTAGAAACACACATGAAAAAAATGTAAAGATCACAGGTTAACAGCCTAACAAGTCACCTAAGAAGCAGGAAAAGCAAGACCATCAAAACCTTAACTTCAACAGAAAAATCCAGATCACTAAGATAAAAGCTCAAATCCAAGACATAGAAGACAAAAAGATAATACAAAAAAAATAACGAAACAAACAGCTGGTTTTTGAAAGGATAAACAAGACCAATGGTCCCCTAGCTAGACTGACCAAGAAAAAGAAAGAAAAAGTCCAAATCAGCACAATCAGAAAGAGGTGAGTGGATTGCCTGAGCACGCAGGTTCGAGATCTGTCTGGGCAGCGAGACCTCATCTCTACAATGAATCAAAAAATCAGCCGGGTGTGGTAGCGCATGCCTTTACTTCCAGCTACTCGGAAGGCTGAGGCAGAAGGATCGCCGGAGCCCAGCAGGTCGAGGCTGCGGTGGCCGGGAGCGGCCACTGCACTCTCGTCTGGGCGACAGAGTGAGACTCCAACTCAAAAAAAAAAAAAATCAGAAACACAAAAGATGAAGTCACATCTGACGCGGAAAAAATACAAATGATTATCAGAGACTACTATGCACACTTATATGGAAACAAACTTGAAAACCTAAAGGAAATGGACAACTTTCTGACATCACACAACCTCCCTTGTTTGAAACAAAAAGATGCTAGAGAGGATGTTGTGAAAAGGGAACACTTCTACACTGTTGGTGGGAGTGTAAACTAGTATAACCTCTGTGGAAATCAGTGTGGCGATTCCTAAAAGTTCTAAAAATCGAACTTCCATGTGACCCTGCAATCCCCCTATTGGGAATATACCTGGAAGAACTCAGGTCACTCTATAAAAAATATCTGTACACATATGTTTATCACAGCATTGTTCACAATAGCAAGAACATGGAACCGTGCTGCCCATCAAAAGAGGACTGGATAAAAAAAATGTGGTACATATACACGATGGAATATTACGCAGCGAAAAAGAAGAATAAAATCATGAACTTTGCAGCAACCTGGATGGAATTAGAGTTTATAATACTGAGGGATCTTTCACAAAAACAAAGATCTGAGTATTACATGTTCTCACTCATAAGTGGACCTTGAACAACTACTGTAATACTATAAGAAAAGGATTGACAGTAGCAGAAAACTTTGGGGGGGGCAGAGAAGTGGGACTGACAGTAGTCAATATCTGCCAGGAAGGGGGACCACACCTCATCAACACGGGTACCTGTACAATGAATATTTGTATACCTAACTCTGAATTGTGCCCCACAATTTTAAAATAAAAATTAGAAAAAAAAGAACAGCATTACTCATCTCCCTTATTCAGCAGTACATTATCTTTATTTTTACTTTCCCTCAATCTGAGAATAGGAAAGTGACAGATCATGACTTCTATAATTTACATTTCTTTGAATATTTGCGTGCATATCCTTTTAATAGGTCATTGCTCTTCTCTGAATTTCATATTCATACCCTCTGAGTGTTTGTCTACTGAGTTGTTTTTTTACTTATCATCTCAAAAGAAAATTGTTAGTAAAGTCAACATATTAAACAGTTATCAGTCAGTCAAGTATAATATGTTTTTCCAAATTGTTGAAGGTATCTTCCATCTGCTTAATGTTATAGGTAGTAATTGATGTCTATTTCTACATTTATACTTTCTAAATATCCCCATATCATGGTTACCAAATTCTCACAAATGTCTAAGTTCTAATTTTATAATTTTCCAAATATTTTTCTAGGACATTTACTATGTCATCTTTCATCCTATTGCTCATCTTATCTGGAAGATTTTTAATATGTACTGTCTTTATATTACTGTTTTAATAATAATATCTAGAGAGGCTAGTACACGCTTGTTACTTTTTCACAAATATTAACGCTATTAAAACATTTATTTTCACATATTAACTGAATACATATATATCCAATTATAATATTTAAATGTTTAAAACATTTTTTTCTGGGGAATATTTAAATCCCAAATATAATGTCATTCTAATGGAATGGTTTACTAATGAATCATGCATTACCTTTTATACATAAATTTGAGAAAAAATGAACATTTTTGTACCATTAACATTTTCCCTCATTTGGAAATACATTAAGGAGATGACTGGAAAAATATGAGTCGAGTCTGTAGATTAAATAACAGCATTTGGCCCCATAATTTTCTGATTTTGATAATTGTTCCAGATTAAGATACACAGTGGGTTTAGGAAATTTCCACTAAAATATTTAAGATATAAGGGAATCCTGGCCTTAACTTACTCTCAAATTCAAATAACAAAGACAAAAGAAAAAACATGGTACAAGTTCAATAAACACAGGATCTAAGAGAATAATGAATAGGACTTTCTGCATTATTCCTGCACCTATTTTGTAAGTCTTGAGTTATTTCTAAACAAAACTGATACTATGATCCATAAAAAATTCTCACTAGTCATTCTAAATAATTCTTTCATTACATTGGTGAATTATACACCTAAGGTGTAGATTAAATTTTATATTTATATTCTTAAATAAAATTGGTCTTCTAGAGTTTTATTTTTCTAGGATAATTGTCAGGTTTATTGGTTGTTTAAAATGCACTTGGAGCAGTACATTTTAAGGTACCAGAAAAATATGAGCAACAAATGAGTTTATCTGCTATTGATATGCTAGAAAGAACCCATAGTTTTTAAAATTTTTTCCAATTCCATAGCAAATCTTGTCAAATTTTCCAGTCCATCTTAGGTGAATTTTGGTCATTTGTATAGCTACGAAACCATTAATTTCCTCTATGACATATTCAAATTTGTTACACATGCTCAGGTGCAACTACTAAGATAAGAAGTGGTCCAGGGTGGGTCTATCACTTGGTCCTCCTGTGAGAATTCAAGAAGAAAGCTATGTGTTCCCTCATTTCATCAACTACAAAGATTGTTATGCTCTCTAGGGTACAGCCACATCTCACCTCTGTGTTCAGCTTCTCTCTGGAAACCTGGAAGATCTTAATTCTGCCACAGAGATTTTCATTTCTGGTTAAGTAGCTCTGTCTTTCCGGGGGGGGGGGGGGGGGCCCACAACGACAAAGTCCTTAACTAACTTTCTCTATAGGAAAACCATCAGAGCCAAAACCCACCTTCCATTATTAAAATTAGGTCAGCCAAACACAGAAGTTGCTCTGATCAACTGGTATCTGACGTGAAATTGCAACAAGAGGGGTAAAGAGACTTGTATTATCTTCGCAGAATCCCCAAGACTCTCCTATAAACTTAATTTTGTTGACACATAAAATTATTTTTAGACCATACTGCCATTTTATCCAAGCAATTTCCCATGATGACCAGTAATTTCCTCATACCAACCATATGTGTAACCTACCTCAAATTCTGCATGTCTGTGAATGTCCTCTGCTCTCTGCCTGCTCAGGATAAATTCAGCTTCATTTGCTACTCTCACCAGATGATCCTTCATTGTTTGGCTAAGCAACCTAAAAAGATTAATATTATCAAATAAATATATGCATACACACAACATATAGGGTCATTCACTGCTTAAAAGTGGTATATCATGTTATATTGGGTAGAAAAAATATTTACTCTCCTTTTCTGACATCATACCCAATAAGGTACTATTAGTTCACACTAAAAAACTGAAGACTGCAACAGAAAAAGGTTATCCTTCCGGCAACAACAAAGAAGCTTCTATAAGACTAACCCTCTTACAAAAGCAACTAAAAATGCTGGCTTGAAGTTTTGTTTTGATCTTTTTTTTTTTTTGAGTTGGAGTCTCACTGTCGCCCAGACTGGAGTGCAGTGGCCGCTCCCGGCCACCGCAGCCTCGACCTGCTGGGGTCCAGTGATCCTTCTGCCTCAGCCTTCCAAGTAGCTGGAACTACAGGCGCACGCTACCACGCCCGGCTAATTTTTTTGATTTATTGTAGAGATGAGGTCTCGCCTGCCCAGGCGGGTCTTGAACCCGCGGGCTCAGGCAATCCACTCACCTCAGCCTCCCAAAGGCGTGGGATTACAGGCTGAGCCACCGAGCCCAGCTGTTTTAATCTTTTTAAAGGCAATGGAAAGTTACAAAGGCAGCCAAGATTAACACAGTGAAGATCCTGAAGAAGAAAGCGGACAGAAGACATTCAATGTGACTTTTCTCACTGAAGCACTGGCTATTCACAAGTGGCAACAGAGCTGTCATCAGTGTCACAGAGCTATGCAGACACAAACTGAGGTCACAGTGTATCAAGGTAGAGGGGTCTTGGTAGACTGCCCAGAATCCCAGCAAGAATCCAGGGACACCCCAGGAAACAGGAAATAGACCAGGCTCCAAACGCTGAAACATAACATTCTGGTAATCTGTATCTAGATTAACTGGTAGCCTAAAAGCTAAGCAACGTTGTCAGGGTGGGAAGAAAAAAGCAGAAATACCAATGCAAGAGGGGCTCAGTAAAACCCCAGGTTTTCAGAGGACCTCAGAAGGGTTACATTCTAGGAGAAGACAAACTGGAAGTAGGGCAAACTCTCACAAGGACAGAAAAAATCCAGCCTTGAATTAGCTTAGTCCCTAAAGTCAATCCCTATTCTAAATGCTAATCAGAAATTAAAAGGAAGACCTCATTAGAAAAAAGTACTTCATATAGGAACTTAAATTTATCCTGTTTATTTACTTATTTATTTTAAATTTTTTATTTTAAAGATGCGAGGTACAATTCAGGGTTAAGTATACAAATGTTCATAATACAGGTACCCTTGATGAGGTGTGTTCCCCACTCCCCCCAGCAGAATCCCATTACTGTCAATCCCGCTGCACCCTCCTCCACCCCAGAAAATTTCCCACTACTGACATCCTTTTCTTATAGTATTATGATAATTGTTCAAAGTCCACTTATGAGTGAGAACATGTAATACTCAGTTCTTTGCTTCTGTGATAGATCACTCAGTATTATAGACTCTAAGATCATCCAACTTGCTGTGAAGTTCATAATTTTGTCAATTTCCAACATTCAATGATCAATTAACAGGCACAAGAGACAATAACAAATTAATAAAAACTAAATAGAAAAAAACTGATTCAGAAAATCAAGACAGTAAAGTTTCACACCTGGACATTGCAACATTATTAAAACTGTAATAATGACTTTTAGAATTTAAGATTACTGCCATCTTAAAATATGTAACAACAACATACAAGAAAAGATAAACTAAATGAATTAGTGATACAGCTTTTCTGTACTGAACTGGTAAAAGTACTACTTTACATAAGATGTTAACAAGTCTAACATTTGTGCTAAAATCACTAGGTAACCAATGAAGGTATCTAAAAGAATACATAGCTGCCAGGCACAGTGGCTCACGCCTGTAATCCCAACGCTTTATGAGACAGAGGTGAGAGGATAGCCTGAGCCCAGGGATTCGGGACCAGCCTGGGCAACATGGCAAGACCTCGTCTCTACAATAAATCAAAAAATTAGCCGGACGTGGTGTCAGTTGCCTGTAATTCCAGTTACTTGGAAGGCTGAGGCAGAAGGATCACCTGAGCCTAGCAGGTTGAGGCTACAGTGGCCAGGAAACTGCCACTGCACTCCAGCTTAGGTGACAGAGTGAGACTCCAACTCAAAATAATTTTATATATATAATCTCCAACAAGCTAATATGAAAAAAATTGAGCAAAAAGAATTACGTTGAAAAGGGGGAAAAAATGAAAAGGAACACAAAATATGGAGCAAATATAAAAGACACAAATAATAAGAGTGTAAATTTTAACCTGCCTCAGGAATACACAGAAAGTAAACACTCAGTAGTATAATTATTGCCAAACATATTTAAAGTATAGGCTGCTTATAAGTGACATAATTTCAATATAAGGTTGAACAAAGATTAAAAGTAAAATTCATAAGAGATGAATAATTAAAAAACAGGAAAAGAAAGTTAACAAAAATTAATTAGTATGAGGAAAAAGAACTTTAAGAAGCAAACTCAGAAATAAAGCAATAAACATTTTAAATAATAAAGGAATAAGTGAACTAGAGAGAGACAGAAATCTAGTATTTTGAGATCCTCAAGGTATATACTTCTAAGAATATGGCCTATCACTAGATACTGAAGATACAAAGCTATAGAATATTATAACAATGTGATTACATCCCTGACCTAAATGACATATATAGAACGCTACACATCCACTAAGTGAAAAATAAGCATTCTTTTCATGTAAACACTGACCATACAAAAAACAAACAAAACAATCTCTAATGAATTTCAAATGAAGAAGTCATACTGAGCATGTTTTTAAACATCACAGAATTAAACTAGAAAGAAATAACAGCATATAGAACACTCCATGTGAGGCTCTAAGATGGCCATCAATTTTCCCAGCCTCCAGGTATCCACAACATATGCAATTCTCTCCTTAGAGTGTGGGAAGGTGCTACAGCTTGCCTCTAAGAGTAGAAAAATATGGCAATATTGAAGAAATACCATGTCCATAATTACCTTAAATAACTGTGTAACTTTCGACTTGCCAACAGACTCTAGTGACCCCACTGCCTTAGTGGCTTGGCTGAAGAAAGCTGCCATGCTATGAACAATCCTATGGAGAGGCCAACATGGCAAGGAGGTAAGAGCCCCAGACAATAGCCAGCAAGGAACTGAGACTCTCAGTCTAACAACTCAATTGAATTGAATTCTGCCAACAATCACATGAGCATGAAAGGAAATCCTGTGCCACTCAAACATCAAATGAGACTACAGTGCTGGCCAGTATCTTAACTGCAGCCCTGTAAGTGAACCTGAAGCAGAGGCCTAGCTAAATGATGCCCAGATTCCAGACCAAGAAAAACTGTGAGTTCATAAATGTACGTTTCTTTAAGGCTAAGTTTGATAATACTGTTATCATAGCAGTAAGTAATTAATATCATTCTCTCCACGTTTGAAAATTGATGAACGCAACTCTAAAACACCCAAACATAAAAGAATACATCATAATAAAAATTAGAAAATGTTTTGCAGAAAAATAATAGAAAAATAGGCTAAAACGTGTGACTTAGCTAAACCTTAGCTTATGCTTAGGGAGAAATTTATATACTAAATAAATACACGAAAGAAGGAAAATGCTCTCAAAATAAAATCTAAGTATCCAACTGAAGAAATCTGAAAAATAAAAGCCATTAAAAAAAAACTGAAAGCAAAAATAGCAAAGACAAGGGCAGAAATTAATTATAAAGAAACAAATAAATTTTACAAGATAAAGTTAAGGCCAAGTATGGTAGTTCACACCTGTAATCCTAGCACTTTGGGAGGCCAAGGTGGGAGGACTGCTTGAGACCAGGAGTTTGAGATCTGCCTGTATACACAGCAAGACCCTGTCTCCACCAAAAAAAAAAAAAAAAAAATTAGCTTCGGAGACTGAGGCGGCAAGATCACTTGATCCCTGGAGTTTGAGGCTGCAGTGAGCTATGATAGCACCACTGCATTCCGTCCTGGGTGACAAAGAGAGACCCTGTCTCAAAAAA